GAATAGAAGAAAAGTTGATTCTCAGCTTGGTTTATGGGAACCTATGGCATTCTCTGGACAAATATTTATATAAGCCAACTTGAACAGTGTTGTGTCTACTCGATATAACACTCACATTATTAAAATTCTCTAATGATTTGTTTTTCTAATCTTTACCGTCCATATGGTGAGCGATTATGCTGTTGATAATGTGGGGTCTATTGTTTTATGATGCCATCAAGCCATTAGAGCATAAAAGAAGGAAATGATCGTGTTAGTAGGCGACTGATGTAATACTCCCATTAACTCTTTTTGTATGTATCAATAAGAACACTTTCTTATATTTTTCTTTTGGCAGGTCCCAATAGTTTCAATTGCACTATCTGGCATGTCAGTGAAATATCAGCAGCATCCCAAAATCAAACTAGAAGAGAAAATAAGGTAAGTATATAATCCTTGTTATAAAAAAAAAACAGCAAAATTTTATAAGCTCTAGACATTGTATAAGTATATAAATGTGTATCTGTGAAAGAAGGCTCTAGACATTTTTTCTACTATTTTGGTGAGGTTATGATTGAAATGTGTCCCTTGACTTTATTAAAGGTTACTGTAGATATCACTGTTTTAAAAATAAAAAAAATCACTGTAGAAGCTTACAAAAGGTAAAGAAAAAAGACAAAATTTTGAAAAGCATATAGCAAAAGGGGTCGAATTGTTTTTTTTTTGGGTGTTTGATAAGTGGCCTTCTGTATCTAGCAGCAGCACTTGAGATTGAAAGTTAGATACTTAGATATTATTTTTCGGATTTTTTCGTTTTAAACACCAAATAAAAATTATTTATTTAGATGAGAAAGGCCAATTTGATTTCCGCGGCTTTGTGATTTGCCTCTTGGTGCATGCCTTAGAAATGTTGGATCTTTTAGTCCATAATCTTTCAAAACCTAAGATCATCAGTTGATAATACTAGATTTCCAAGATATTTACTATCATATGGTTTATTGGAACTTCATTAACCTTAAACATATGGTCACGTGTGCAATTTATGTTGCTTACAACTTCAAGATGCATAAATTAAAGTAGCGTAGAGAGGGTTCTGACTCTGCGTGTGTGTGTGTACAGGTACCTGGTGTGCTGGTCCATAGAAGCAGAGAATAGAGAGTATATATATATTCTTCTTTTCTCTGTATATATCTCTAATTGGCAAAGAGTTCCCAAGATTCTTCAAATTGTTTTGTTAAGTGGAAAACTCTGAAAATGACCTTACAGGAATCTGAGAGAATTATACTTACAGTAGATTGATGTCGCATAGTCTTTGCATTGAAGCAAAAATATACCAAAACACTAAAAAGGAAAACTTGTGGACCGACCGGTCAACCCTATTGAAATCCCGGTCCATCCTATTTTCAGACCCTGAAAAATCAATATTGATATTAAACCGACTCATAAAGGACGAATTCTGCCACAGCATAGCCAGGCTGGGCTGGTTAAATCCATCACAGTGCTTGTCTCTTTTGTATGGTTAACGGTGGACTAACCTTTAAAGTTAGAACCACAGAAAATGACTAAACCGGGCCAATAAAAAGGATATAAAATCTCAATCTAAACAGGCTAAGGTCACAACATCCCCTAATCCATCCTTTGTGGTTGTACTAAGTTCCCATCAATTACAGTGGATCCTAAAATTAAGCTAGAGCTAGATGTTTCTAAGGAAATTACCTCAATTGCTTGTTTGCATGAAATTGACACGTAAATGGTCTAGTATGATTCATTTGGTTATTGTAATATTATATGTAGGTTTTTTTTTGTTTGTTAGAGACACATAAGAGCATGGATTGATTCTTAATTTACCTTTTATTTGCAGAAAGGGAACTTACATGACCATTACGGATTGATTCTCAATAATTGTATCTAGGTCACTACGGAATGTACATGGCGATATCAGCTACCGTTGATTTTGAGTAATGACCTAGTAGATAATTCTTGAGTTGTTTTCTTTTCCCTTAAGGATTATGTGGTTGTGCTTGTAATGCTTTAAACATCATGGTGTAAAAGATTCGGGGTTGTGATTTTTTCGCATGTTGCTTTCAGATTCTCGAATTGTCCATTGTCCAATAGCTATTATAAAATTCTACATACGGCACCACAATCTGATAGCTACTGCATATTGTCATATTGATCTGAGCCATCGATTAATTCGTAGTTGGATTTGATCACTTAAATTAAAGTGGTAAATAATGAGAGTCAATTAGATTAATACATATGGAAGAATATGATTCGTAGATAGATGATTACTATATTTTTAGTTAGTTGGGTTTGGTCATCATATCCAATGTTCATCAAAATGTTACTTATATATATTTTTTTTTTCACAACCTTACTTCATTATATATTTATATTAAAATATAAAAGTATAATTAGAGGGAATTAAATATCTTCTAAGCTTAAAAGACAACAATTGAATCGCAATAAAACATAATACAGATAAATCATCTTGAAAAATAGACACCGGATCCAAAACATGCTTCAAATGTGTAAAAAAAGTCTTCGTGGCAAAGCCGGAGAGTCATAAATTGGTCACGTTCCAATGTGACGTTAAGATCGAACTTTTACCTCCGGTAATCGTCGAAACAAAACAACTACTTCTTCTGGTCCAAAGAGACTACATAAGAAAACAAGACGGTGAGAAAATTATTAAATGTTTCTAGCGCATAGCTCGGGATTACGGCCACTCTCAAAAAGAGGGAAGATACGACCACTCTCAAAGATAGAGAAGAAAGTACGACCATTCTCAAAGAGAGGAAAGAAGATAATAAAATCGATCTCTCCCCGAAGAAAAATGAACTTGGGATTGATCTCTCCATTAGGGAGGAGTTTGGAACTGGAATCCTCATCATAAGAACTGTGATAATACTGCTGGCAAAAACACAAAATAATCATCGTTAGAAAACAACTAATCATGGTTAGAAGGTGGAGAAGGCAGATTGATGGGCTAGGCAGATTTGTTGGGTTAGGAGGCCCATATCTCAAACTAGGCAGGCCCATAATTGAATAATGTTGAGAGGGAGAGAGGGTTTTGGGGAGCTGGGGAGAACGAGGAGGAGCCGCCATGGTGAATGATCGGAACAGAGGAACCATGACGGAAAACGGGAGTCGGGGCCAAGTTGATTCCTCTACTTGAGCAAAATTCTTGACCGTCGAGAGAGAGCTTGGCTGAGCCTTAGAAATCGAAGTGAGATCTTGGCGAAGGAGATGTTGTTGCAGTCGGTGGAGCAATGGTTGAAATCGAAAACTGAGCTGGTGGTAAGATAATCTCCACGCCGGTAAAACCACGGCGGAGTGGTTCTGAGGCAAAACGTGACCTTGGGGCTGGATCCGACGGTGGAGGAGAGATTTTCATCTCTGAGAACGTCTTCAACCAAAGAAGAGAGTAAGCCGAGCTTCGATCTGCACGCTGTTTACTGCTCGGTGAGTGCAAGAGGGCTCGACTCAAGGTGAAAGACACCATCTCAAGGGATGGAGGGAGAGAGAGAGAAGCGTTGGTTTGACTGGACCCGAGAGAAAATGGAGCAAACGTCGATCAGGAGGAGGGGAGCTAGGAGCTTGAACACCGGAGGCTGCATTTTTTGGTGAAAACGCAGCTGTCTCGATCTTCGTGTCTGAGAGAGGCTAGGGCGAACTCAACAATTAATGTATCTGCTTATATTTATATTTTTAATGTATTATTTTTAAACAGATTAATTGACCGCCTATATATGCTTTAATTACCTATAGGCTATATATAAAAACTTGGTTTTGTTTATTAACCAGTGTTTTAATCTATCTGGTCAGTATCCAAATATTTGAATATTTTGATAGAACACACGTATGAGGCCGATTTAAAAATATTAGTCATATTTATATACTTCTATGATATATATTAAAAAAGGAAATATTCTCATGAGAGTTTAGAAGTATAAAATTACGAAATTCAAGATTTGGCCCCTTTCTTTTTGAAGGTGTCTTTGTAATGGAGGACCCAAAATTCTGAAGAGATTAGAGTGAAGTAAGCAGACAAATATAAGACTGAGTTACGTGGACGCCACCACTTCCTCTATGGTCACTCCACTAAGTTAGATTTTTTCTCCCCCTTCATTTTTTTTGCCAAGCCACAAGGACTTAACAACTAAGATAAGACCCTTTTGGTCCCACATTTATCTTTCTTATTCTTTTCTTACATCATAGCAAAACTTCAGTATCCTATGATCTGTACTTGGTTTTAATTTGTTTTGATATTGCACTATTGCATTTGTCTCCATTCTCAATGTATACATTCGCCCATGCATGCATAATCTACATGCACTAGAGGGGTTGTCTTTTTTTTTTTTTTTT